GTGTTAAATTTTATTAATTCAAGTCAATGTCTTCACAATAAAATCAACCGATGATGGTAAAATTTTAATAATATTAAAATATAATATCCGTCCTTATTGAAAATAATTTGCTTTGTCACTGTCACGTTTTATCATGTAAATCGAAAGATATTTCTTATTCATAAATAATTCTCAATGATATAAGCCACAGAAACATTACATTGACATAATATTCTACAAATTTGAATAAATTATTTCATTATTTTTACGTTAAGAAGCACGCCTTCATCAATTTTTCAACTCGTGATTTTGTCAATGCTTTTGCTGTTCCGATTCTAATATTACTTACAGCTGTTTTTTGTTTTTCTTCCTTCCAGAGAGAATTTTTGTTTGAAAATTGTTTTCTAGTTTCATATAGATTCGTTTTAAATAATTACTAGAAGGAAAGTTTAGAGGCCATTTCATCGATTTAGCATCTTTGTAAACATTTTTAGTAGAGTGGGCAATAGTCAGCTTTGCAGAATGTGAAGGAACATGAAAATATTGTTTTAACTTAAATCTTTTGGTTGTGATCTGCATTCGTCTTGTTCAAAATATTACAATAATTTCTGCATTTATTTTGACATTCAAATTTGAAAGGACCTTAAAATGTTCTACCTAAAATACTAGTCCAAAACATTACTCTACCTCACCACTGTCATCAACTAAGTCGCCTTGCTTTGTCTATTTCTATGAAGAAATCAGGTTCATCCAATGTAGCTCTACATTCATTATTAAAAACTACTAAGTTTTTCATCTACTTCTTCGTCAACTCACACGTTTCTCTTCGTGAATTTTTAATTCAAAGAGCGTTGTTTGGTTTCTTTCATGTCTTTTAGCAATTCTGCATATTTTCTATCTGTTTACATTTTCAATACTAACTTAAGTTAACGTTTATAGTTCTGGTTAATAATACTGCTCGGGAGAACTGGAAATAAAAGGTTGAGTGAAGAACAGGTTTAATCAGATGAGAGACATGGATTCATAATACAGTAATGGAGAATACCGTAGTTCAGTGCGGCAATACATACGACTCAAACACTACGCCTTGCGACCCACTTTCCGACGACCGTTCCTATGAGCAGACGTTCCACACAGAGTAAATGGACGAGTGAATGTTTGACAATTGGTGTAAAGAAGATCGGTCGTATTTCGACACAACAGATTCTTCAGAAGTCTTTTTTTTTCAATCTTCTTTTTTCAATTTAATGTTTAATTTTTTCCCAAATCTTTGTCACATCCATAATGACAGATTATTTTCTTGTTCCAATCTTCCTGATGTTTTCTTTTCTTTCTTTATTTTTTATTGTTTTGTGATTTCCAGTTCACGTTTACCATTTCATACAATTTTACAATATCGTGTTCCTTTTTTAAGCTTATATTTTTCTTACAACCAATGACAACGTTATGGGAGTAAGTGACATTAAAAAAAAATTGCAATAAAATTAAATATCAATAACTATGCTATAATATATATTTATTTACAATATGATGAACAACGTTCAAGTTGCATAATAAAATCTCGCATTAACAAATAAGTTATTGCAGATATATCTAACAAAAACAAAAATCACAAAATGAAATTCATCGGCTATATTTTATCATTTAAATCTAAATATATCCTGAAAACTTTATCAATATACATGAGTTAATAGAAAATTTGCTGGAAAATCATCGACTTGGCTAATAAAATATGGCAGTTTGTGTGTGTGTGTGTGTGTGTGTGTGTGTGTGTGTGTGTGTGTGTGTGTGTGTGTGTGTGTGTGACTTCAGACACGAATTGGGTTTCAAAAAATAGTAAAACCTCTCTCAAAAGATGATGATCCTGTGATCAGTGTCGATTTCGTGGCAGAAGCATCATTATCGCCATTCTCTAGTTACCTTACAATACCAACAGGTTTTATTGGATTTTCTTTCCCAGTGTGGGAATGCCGGATGGAAATGCAAATTTATCAAAATCTATTTTCGTTTTAATAACTTCCCAGTCAATCATTATGAACTCAAAAATTCAATGACGTCTGATTTGAAATAACCGACCACACTCACACACACAAGCGCGCGCGCGGTGCACGTGTGTGTGTGTGTGTTCACATGTGTCTATGACTAGACTTTGTCAAGATTAACAAGAGGTATAACAGCCTTTTGTTATTATTTCTATTAAGTGATGCTGATTTTTTTTTTTTTTATCGATTTCACCCCAAACAAAACAGTAAAGCCACTAGGATACAGGGGTTACTGGATGTGTCAGAATTAGAAAACAGAAACTTTACTAAGGAGAAAGAACAAAGGAAGAAAAATCAGGAGGACAGCAGATAGCGATTGACATTGCATTTAAATTTTTGAAGATTAATGTTGGCTGGAAAGCATGATGCCGGAAAGAAGTTACGCAAGCGAGAAGTGCAAGAAACTCTTAGCTTAGAAATTTACGGTTACATCCAACCAGTTCAACTGTAAATTGATGAAAGCCTTATCGCTAGTCTAG